GTTTTACAAATTTGGGCGAAAGGTCGTGATGCAAGGATCTGGTCTGTCCCCAAGCCCAGTTGCAAAAAGGGGTTTAGGGCTGCTGGACAACGAGGCCTGTTGCAAAAAAGGATAAATGTGACCCTGAAGGAGTAGCATAGGGCCTGTCATGCAGTCTGAATGTCGCCAGGAGGTGGCTCCCCCACCCATGGCGGGAAGGACCGTCCATATTCGGACCTGGGCTTATAATGCATGAAAGTATATATTGCAGTCGAGATTAGAGCATAGGTTGTAGTAGATAATTTTTGTAGTATATATTAACGGCTTACAGCGGTTGTGGGAATGGACATGCCGAGGATAAGGGAGGAGGCATCGCCGGGGTGTGGCGGGTGATTTCAGGAGCCAAGGGTTTTCGGACTTGGGTGGTTTCTGTTCTTCGTTCAGGGGCTGTGGCTATGCGGGTGCGTCGGTGTGACCTTGCAGTGTTAGAGTTCGGGTTTGCGGCTGGCTATCCGCGGGAGTCAGATTTGAGGGCTAAACCCCACATCCTGGTTGATGTCCGAGCTGCGAGAGTCCAAACCCTGTTGGATGTTGCAGCACTTGACCTCACCTGGCATGTCCGAGTTGTGAGAGCATAAACCCTTCCCACCGCAGCTCTCCTGCAGTGTCCGAGTTGCGAGAGCCCACGTCCTAACCCTAAACTTGAGTGCCTCAAACGCGAACCAAGCGAACAAAGACACAGCAAACCTTGCTCGGAGGATTCTCTTGCTGTGAGCGCTGTGGAGGCGGCTCCACCCAGTTCCGTGTGGGCACCCCAATTCTCAAGAAATTTTAGGGGCTGAGGGGTTCAGGGTTTGGTATTTTTTTGGGGGTTTTCGGCTTTAGGCACATCCCAGCTTCGAGCACCTGAGAGAGAGAGAGAGAGGCATGGGATGTGGAATTTAGGGATTTAGAGATACGGGTTTGGGATTTAGGGCTTGGGTTCTTTTCTCTCTTTCGAGTTTAGGGTTTTGCTCGCCTTACAGTGAGCGAGTGATGCTGGGGACCGGGCTGCTGTGTACGAGGCCTGCTGTAAAAGGGACGCTCCAATTCTAGAGATTCTTAGCCCTGACCAGTCATCGACGTTCAAAATACAAGTACCAAACCCGAAACCCCAAACCCTAGAAGCCCTTGGAGTCTTGCCAGCGTTGCGCGACAGTGAGAGTCGAAACCCTAAACCTTAAGCCCTAAACCAAAACCCTAAACTTCTAAACCCGAAAAACAACCTCGTTAGTGGGCATAGATCCTCAGCCATGCGAGAGGGAAAAAAGCCCCAAAGACGTAGGAGGGAAAAGAGCCCCAAAGCCGAAGCTGAACTGAGGTCTGGGCTGAGCTTCGGCCCGCGCCTGAGAGGAAGCCAGGGCTATGTTTTGGAGGTCCTATGAGGTCCTCCTAAAGGGCACCCTGGGGTATAGTAGTACAGCTATATTTCGGGATTATATAGTGGGATGCTAGTTGGTTACATGACTTTGCTGGTGTTTTGTAAAGTTCTAGACTCTAGAAGGACTCCGATGACGAACCATGGAGTGCCACTGTCATCCACACTTGCCTGGGTGATGCTCGGTTTCCTGAGCGGTAGCCCAAGCCAGAAACCTAAAAGCCTCAACCTTGCCCCGTAGATCTGAGACTCTTGCGCTTCTGGCAGTCAGGTGCTCTGACTGTGCTTCGGAGGTTCTTAACCCCAACCCCAGCAAAGCCCCACTCCAGGCTGCGAGTAGCCCAAGGCTTTCGGAAGCGGAAGCCCGAGCCCTTGTCAAACCTACACGAGACCCTAGAGGGTTGAGGGTTTTGGGTTTAGGGTATTAAAACCGTGCAGCATGAGCCATCGCCTTAAAACCCAGCATAAACGACCCGAGGCTCTAGCTTCAACCATGGACCCTGAATCCCAAGACCCTAAACTCCTAAACCCTTTAAGCCTGAAAGCCCGGAGCACTTTCACCCTGCCAAAAGCCCCTAAACCCTAAACTCTGAACCCTAAACCCTTCCAAAAAACCCTAAAGCCCCTAAGCCCTAAACTCTGAACCCCGTTTTCAGGCCCGAAGCTTCAGCTCGAATTGACCCAAGCCTTAGTACCTGCTGGCAAGGGCTTGAGCGTTTACCACCGGAGGCACGTCGTTTGGGGAGTTCGGGGATCGACGCCTTCTCACTACGGCTGATGGGCACAATTCTGGCCGGGTTTAGGGTTTAGGGTTCCCATTTCAAGAAATATGTCATAGTTGCCAGAATCTCATAGTTCAACCAATGTAAGTGTAATTGATGCAGGTTTTGTCCACCAGCCGTAGTATTCCTACTGTTTTGGTTTAGGGTCTTGGGTTCGGGGCTTTTGCTCGCGATACTACGCTTGAGGTTTGGGCCCCGCAACACCCCCGCCCCTGCTCAGCTAGGGTTTCCCGATGGGTAGTAATGGGTGGTAGTGGTGGTGGTGGTGGTGGTGGTAGTAGCGGCAGTAGTCGACGTGGTCGTGGTGGTGCTGGTGGTATGAGCAGCAGCCGTAGTAGTCGTGGTGGTGGTGATAGGAGTGCTGCGACATGGGTAGGAGAATGACGAGGAGGCAGGGTCAGTAGAAGAAGAAGAAGCAGAAGAAGCTGCAGCAGCAGTAGCAGTTGTAGTTGCACCTTCTAGCCCTGATAGTCACAATATACAGTAGGACACGAGTAATTACAAGGGATAGATAACCTTGAGGGTCATCACCGCTGTCATCGGAAGGGCCTCGGTATCAGCACCATGGTCCTAACTGAGCGTGTGTGCATGTAGCAGATGGTAGTGCGTGATGCACCCAAATCTTGGTCTTGGTGCTAGTGAGGGAGGGTGGGAGGCGGAGAGGGCTGTGGTTGTTTTGAGGGAACTTTGGCCTTAATTAGCCCTAAATGAAGTTCCGTCAGAGAGAGGCCAGAAAGCCTGCTTTGCCGCAGCTTCGGAAAGGCATTGCCGATGCTATATACGACGAGAGAATCGTAATGTGCTTCTAAACCCCAGAGATCCTTTCAAACAGATCCGGGGCTTCTCTTGAGGTTGGCTCCGTGGAACTCAGCCGCAGCCCCACTGCCGGCGCACGCAGGGCACCTGGTTATAGCTATGATATAGAAGCCTCAACAATTACCAATTTTTATTCCTTAGGGCTCCTTACTACCAATGTACTATAAAAGGAATTCAAAACCCGATTTGAATTATGAAGGCCCGTAAACCCTGAATCCTTGCAGTAGCCCTTCTAGAACCCTTTACGGAACCCTTGAAAGGAGCGCTATGGAAAACCTATTCTACTTATTAAGCCCCCGTGCATTGGCTGTCAGCAGTTTTTCACCGCTTTTTGGTCCCGAGACCTCTTGGCTTCAGTCGTCGGGTCTTCAGCGTGTTCCCAGGTAGTTTTAGGGAGACCCCTCAAAGGCGGCCCTTCTTAACCCTACTTATGGCTCTCTTAAGAGGGACCTTACTGAGAGGGTCTAGTTTTTTTCGGGTCCCCCTAATCCTGATTCCCAGTTGTGGCACCGGCTTTAAACCCTGAATCAAAGAGCCTTTCCACTTCAGAGTGTCATGTGCGCCATGTCCAGGTCCACCAACGAGTGGCCCGAGCCAGCATCCGAGAATCGATGGGTTTAGAGTGGTTTCGGTATTTAGGGGGGGGAATAGGGAGTTTAGGGTTTAGGGTTACTGGGACATAGGCGCCACATGAACGAAAGGACCCTATCTCCTACCTTCGAGACATTGGTGGAACCAGTGTGTGAGATCCTTGTTTTGTGAATCACAATCTTCATCTTCACCATCTCCACACCAGCACAACACCACAAGGCCAGAACAGCACCGCAACAGCACCACAACAACACCACAGCACCACGATAACACTGCACACCACCGCAACATCACGCAGCACCATCACTGGCTTGGATAGCTGGTCAAGCCACTAAATGCATCTACGGACCATAAACACACACGACAGCAGCGCACATCCATGTGAAAGTGATCACTCGACGTGCGAAATCGACGAACATAACAGGGACGAGGGCCCAGCGCAACTTGAAACATGCATATACAGATACAAATGAAAGTATGCAAGTGGACACAAACAAACACAGACAAACACAAACAACCATATGCACACACACACACACTCTCTCTCTCTCTCTCTCTCTCTCTGTCTCTTACACACTTACACACGCACAGATCCAGGTATGTATGTAAGTATGTATGTGTGTATGTATGTGTGTATGTATGTATGTATGTATGTATGTATGTATGTATGTGTGCATGTATTCATGTATGCGGATGTATAGTATGTACATATATAGCTTTGTAATTATGTATACTGTATACATCATGTACACACAGAAATCTACTCTCCCTCAGTCTCTCTCTCTCTCTCTCTCTCTCTCTTTCACTTTGATGTATATATGCTTATATGAGTAGATACACATACGCAGCTACAATATGTGTTAATTGCCAAAAATTACAGATGGGAGGACATACGTCTACTGTACATTGAATTAACATGTCGTATATTTTGACAGACAACTATATCGCAAATGTACGCACGGGAGCGCAAACACACTCGCGGACAGACGCACACAGTGGGACAGCCACACACACACACACACACAGAGAATTGGTGGTATATAAGACTATATGTATACATACACACACACACACGCGTGCACGCACACACACACATCCATAGCACATACATGCAGATCTATTCAAGCATACAGCTCCCCAGCAAATCGATGTGTTCATCCATCCATGTGAGCCTGCACATGTGCATGTACACTTAATGTATGTACATAGGGCAGACATAGGTACTGGTCCACTGATCTGATACATATTGTGTGGACCATGTACATCGGTTTCTAGATTTGTATAGAACGCCCACGTGAATGCATGTGCGTGTGTGCCTCTGTGTGTGCACATTTGGACACATGTGTCATTTTCCCTGTGCTGTGGCTCAAGGAATCGATGAAGCACATCATAGGAAGAGGGCAGTGCCCAGGGCAATGCCGCCGAAGGCAGTTCCAGCCGACTCAACCACTGTAGTCAATCCAGAAACCGCAGATGCTCCTCGGTGTCGGATATCCCTGGGTTTAGAAAGTGCTCAGGGTGGATAGGGTTTCCCGGCCTACTGTTTGCTTCTAGGACGTGCAGCCGGAAAACTGTCAGGTTTTGGATTGAATGATTTCAAGTTCAAGATTTAAACCTAAACCTCAAGCTCTGAAGCCTAAATCATGGGATTCAGGATGTATCTGAGGTCACCTCTTCCGACGTCTGTGGCTTTGTTTGTGGTGACACCGTGGTCGCAGCACGCGACCTGCGTGTTCGCGGCAAGGTGGTAGTTCGACAAGGAGGTGCGGCTTCGGAAGTGGCGGCTTCCTCCAAAGTATGGTATACAGTTAGTATGTGTTCACAGTATAGTATGTTTTTGTCGACATGGGTGCGTGTGTGTGTGTGCAAAGCTTTACTCTTAAAAATTAGTAATCAACAGAACTACATATGTCGGTGTATGTATGTATATATGTATACACACGCATGCATGCATACGCTAAAACACGCTCATGTATACGTACATGTACACGTATATGTTTATGCATTCGCATATGTATCTGCGTATGAATGTAAACACACGAATGCCCACACCCATGCATGCATGTGTGTATGTATGTATATATATATACATATACACGCATATATATATATATACACATACCTACATACCTACATACCTACATACATACATACATACATACATACATACATACACACGTATCTTGCATGTACATATTGATAATATGTAGGTACTTATATAGATGCGTAAGGATGTGTGCAGGTACGTACGTACGTACGTCTAATTCTAGCTTATAGAACCCTTGAGGAATACCAAAAAGCTTATCATAAACCGTTGTAAGGCGGACCTTAATGGCAGGCAGTGGGTATGTGGTTGGACCGGCTTCGTCCTCCGGGCGAATCTGCGTACAGTTTGAGCAGCGGGAAGACCAAAGTGACAACCGCCTCAACTGTCTGCCAGATGAGCTCAGGCCTGGTTTTAGGGGTTCCTTTAGGGGTTTAGGGTTTGGGGGTCTAGGGCGGGGTAGGGTTTAGGGTTTGGAGGTCTGGGGCGCTTGAGGGTTTGGGGTGTAGGCTTTAAGGCTTCCTGGTCCAGGAGGGCTTGAGCTCCAGGCGTTTCTGTATTTTCTCTGGTAGATGTTGGGAGGTTTTGGGGTCAAGAGTCTAGGATCTTATGGTGTGACTTTTGGACTCTGAGGTCCAAGCCCTTATTCAGAGCCCGCTAGGCCTGAGGATGATTGGGATTCAGAGCTCTTGGGAGTTGGGAGTTCCAGAAGTCCAGGACTTGGTGGTCGATCTCATGTGGTCGTATACTTATGCCACAGTATATCATAGTACTTACATTTACTGCACGCTATGCTGCATCGTGTGATATCGTAGTGTGTTGTTCGGAATAAATGTGTTAGGCTTCATGGCATTGGCTGGTTTTGGACACGTGGTGGTGGGGCGGTTGTGGGGGGCCGGGGGGCAGTGTCCAGTGATTGGGGTTGAGACCGGGCGGAGAAGCGTCGAAACCTTAGAGCGGAAGTGCTGAGCGTCCCAGGGGCCACCTGCTAATTGTATTCGTTCCCATGCACTGCCATAACCTACTTCTTAGTAGGTTCTACAAAAACCCGGATGGAGAGTTTGTAGGGACCCTACCAAAAAAGGGCAGGTTTTGGTAGTTCAAGGTAACCGGCAGTGTCAGCTTAGGCTTTGATGACCACACCCTGACCCGCGTTCAGGCACACGCTGGCGGGAGGTTACCTGGCTGGAACCCGCGTCCGCTGCAACAAAGCCTTAGATGCACCGAGCAGGGTGGCGACTCGGCCAGGTTGAAGATTGCCGGCTTTCAGGGGTTTAGGGGTTTAGGGGTTCAGAGGTTCAGGGGTTTAGGGGTTTAGGGGTTTAGGGGTTTAGGGTTAGCGGTTTAGAGTTTAGGGGTTTAGGGGTTTAGGGGTTTAGAGGTTCAGGGGTTCAGGGTTGGCTTTCAGGGCCATAGCCGCAAGCCCTAGACCCGCAAGGGCAGAGTGAGGGATAAGGGTTTCGGATGAAGCCGTGGTTGCCTGCCTGAGCCGGCATGGGGCAGGATGGCATAGAGTAGCGTGCTGGGCATGGTTGTAGTGATCGTAAAGGTATCAAACGTGGCAGGTATTTGCTGTAATATTAGTACAGTATTTGTTTCAATAATGTTGGTGTCAATATTAGTACTCCAGGCCATGCACCACACATGCAGCTGACAGGTGATCCCTGCAGGGACTTCGGGTGTCGTAGTGGGCCCGGCGCGCGACTCACAGTTCCAGCGCCTGCTGGTACGCTTTGCACTCCATGGCCATGAGCATGTCGCCCCGTGGCTGCAAGCCTTTAAGGCAGACTTTTAGTTTACCTCCGCCTCTCGCTCCTGATGCCCATGCTGCCAACTTACCACCACTGCAACTGCAACCGACCCTGCTGCCGGCACTGCTGCTGCTGTTGCTTCCACTCTGGTTTCTGCCACTTTCTGCTGCCGTCACTTCTAGTTCTAGTGAAGATGGCAGGCTTTTCCTGGATGATGTGTGCTGCCCTGATGTGTTGCGTGTCCCCCGACTGCTGTCAGGAGGAGGTCGCCTGCGATCCTGTAGACATCGAGACCAACATTCCCGGCAATTTCCGCCGTGGCAACGCCATCGTTGCGACGCGGGACCTCCGTGTAGGTGGGCAGGTGGTGGTGCGGGAAGGAGTGCTTGGAACCGTGGTGGGACCGAGCACGTCGGACTCGCAGCACCGTGTCACGGTTTCTTTTAGTCACAGAGAAGATGGCAGCCGCAACCGCTTGAACTGTGTTGTCAACGAGATCAAACTGTATCTTGCTGGTGGCTTGGAGGTTGGAGCTCGCGTTCAGGCGGTCCGTCCCATCAGCTATGACGGCTTCGCGCCTGTTCCGACAGGATCTGTGGGTACTGTTGTTGGGCCTGCCATTGATGAACCCTTGGCCAGAATAGTTGTCCGTTGGGATTCAGCATCACCCACAGGCACACCGCCTGAGAGAGAGGCACATTCCGACGATGTCCGACTTATGATAGCAGGCGGCTTCCGACGTGGAGAAACTGTACTGGCTGCAAAGGACCTTCGAGTCAAGGGCATAGTCGTGGTAACTTAGTTCTGCAAGACCAAAAGTCGAATAGTTGTTTCTCTCGGTTCTTACGGTTCAACATGATTCTGCAAGTTCAGACTGTCAGTTTCTGAGGTAAAGCAGAACGTGCTTGGGACTGTCGTGGGGCAGAGCTCGACGGATCCAGCTGGCCGAGTCACTGTCGCCTTTGCTCGTCGGGAGGATGGACGCAGCAACAATCTGCACCTTGGCGTAGGGGGAAAATAACATAAGGGCTTTCCTGTATAATGTACTATAATGGTTAGGAAAAGGGTTGCTACAAGGATTTGGCATCATGGTTTACTATGACTTCCTAAAAGCTTACGATTAGGGTTATTACATGGGTTACTAACGCGCTTTCTTAAGGGTGCTTCTTTGGTGGCTTGCGCAAGTGTCCAACTTTATGACGTGCCCGAAGCATGGTACCTGAGTGATCCCTTGTGTTCTAAGTGCGGAGTAGGGGATATGCGTAGCCATTGCACAGGTCGTTTCCCAAGCCACTTCCGCGGCTTTGTGATGCGAAGCCCTTAAGGAAAACGACATGGGCAGCATGTTGTTATATAAGCCTACAAAGCTGTGATGGTGCTTTAAGTACCCCTGTTACCATTAAATATGCAAGTAGCAAATTGCTTGTAGATCAGCTCGCCCCTAGCTTTGGAGACCTTATTATAAGTAAAAATAGCAGTGTCGCAAGCAGAGCCTAAACGCTGAATCACTAGTAAGAATTTGAAAGTGGGGCCTGGAAAGGTGACTGATTCGGAGGCACTTGGGGTTGACAGATATCTGGTCGAAGACCCGTATGTCCGCCGTGGTCAAAACACCGCAACCACTTCTCGCAGTCTCCAGATGCATGTGCCCAGAATCAATTTCAAGGAGCGCAAGGGAAGGGCTCTGAAATTAAAACCAGAGGCACTTGGGGTCAAAAAATGCTTGGTCCGAGACCAGCTTGCTTGCGCATTGTGTCTGCCTCTCCTGGAGTGTCCGAGTTGGAGCCCTGACCGGCACCGAGGAACGTGGTTCCAGCAGAAATCCAGCACATGCCGTGCACGGGTGGCTTAGTTCCTGGTGACCGAGTCGCAGCTTTGCGCCAACTACTTGTGGTGCCCAAAGGCTGGATGGGTTTCGGGTTTAGGGCTTTGGAGTTCAGGGTTTAGGGTTTAGGGTGGGGATTGCTTCTTCTGTTCAGTGTTGCCACTTTGCATGATGTTTGCTATATTAGTACTCACTACTCAACGCTTCAGTACCAAGCCAGCACCTGTTCATATTCAGTACTAGTCTATGACTCATGACTCGTATTGCGTCACTACTTCTTGCAAGGTCTGTCCTTGAGCTGGATGTGTCTGAGTTCAGGGATTTCCCGAGTCTCTTGCTTTCGTCATTGGCTGCTACAGGTAGGAGACTGGAGACTCGTCTGGATTGCCCGAAAGTAAGAAGCCCCAAAGCCTAAACCCTAAACCTTAAACCCAAGCCCTTATCCCTAAAGCCTTGACGCATCTTGTCATCAGGTTTTGTTCAACAGCTTGGGGATTCTTGGAAGTGTCTCACCTCATCCGACTATGCACCAAAAACCTCGCCTGGCCTGTCCGAGTGTGAGCGCCGAAACCCCGCCCCTAAACCTCAAGAATGACGGATGGGGTTTGCCTGCTCAGAAGGCTAGTGGCCAAGTAGAGCACTAAGCCTTAAAGCCGAAGTTTCAAACAAGCTCATGCCACAATCTGGGCCCTTCAGGCGCCTTGTAATGATTCCGGGTTGTGAGAAGAGCGAGCGGTTGACTCCCACCGTCAAAGCCTCCAACTTAAGCCTTGACTCCTCAGCCTCTACCTCCTGCCACACAGAACGAAAGCCCTAAAACCGCTGAAGCCCCACTACCTCACAGTCTTCCTCTGTTCTCAGGTGCCCAAGGTGTTGTGGTCGGCCCCTCCTGCTCGCAATCAAGCCGCGTGGCGGTTCGCTTCAGCTCGCAAGAGAGCAGCGGCGACAAGGAGGGAGGCGAGGACGTTGCGGCTTAGCTTCGAAGATGCCCAGGGTTGGGTTCAGGGTTTACTATACTGAACTGTACCAAATCATGTTAACTAAATTAATCAATTCCAGACTATTCCTACCTATTCCTATAGTAGACTATACTTACAGGGTTTCAGGGTTTTTGGTTGGAGTTAAGGGTTCGTGGGGCTTGGAGCCATTCCAAGGAGCCAAAAGGCCCACGAATCCCCCATCTTATCTTAACCAGGGTGAAGGGTTTTAGTGTCTAGCAGGCCGTGGGACCGCTGATCATGAGCCGAGCGAGGAACGTGCTGGGAAGGATGGGTGCAAACCCTCCCCCCAAGCCCGTGCTGCTGCGCGGACCTGCCCCTGCTCCGTGCACAAAGCGGAATCGGTGCAGCAGTAGTTTCCTGCACCAGACATGAATTACAATGCTTAATTATGAGGGTTGTATGGCGATGGTGATGGTGGCAGCTGTTCTTTGACGGTGCTGATGATGAAGATGACGACGACAATGATGATGTTCAGAATGATGTCAAACATGATCCGATTGTCGACTCGCGTCGC